GGAAAGCAAAGCAGAATACTGGATAATAGATTCTGAAGCATCTTTTCATGCTACGTCAAACAAAGAACTCTTTACTAGTTATGAACTCGGTAATCTTGGAAAAGTATATCTTGGTGATGATCAACCTTGTGACGCAGTCGACAAAGGCAAAGTACAGATCAAGTTTAATGGATTTGTATGGAAATTGAAGGATGTCAGACACATTCCAGACTTGAGGAAGAACTTGATATCTATGGGCCAACCATCAAATGAAGGTTATGTCACAACCTTCAACGATGATATTTGGAAGTTTTCCAGGGGTGCAATGACCATAGCACGAGGCAAGAAAAGTGGTACTCTCTACACCACAACGAGTGTCTGAGGAATAATTTCAATTGCTGATTCAAATGAAGATCCAGATCTATGTCACCAAAGACCGGGGCATATGAGTCAGAAAGGACTCAAGTACATGCATGATAAAGGGAAACTATCGGGACTTCAATCTATTGATGCAAACCTATGTGAATGTTGTATCTTCGGGAAGCAAAAGAGGGTGAGTTTCAACAAGGGCGGCAGATCTCCGAAGCAAGAAAAGCTAGAGTTTGTCCACACGGATGTCTGGGGACCAGTTGCAGTTCCATCTATTGGTAGAAAGTCTTATTTTGTGACTTTCATTAATGATCATTCCAGAAAAGTATGGGTCTACTTCTTGAGACACATATTCGAAGTGTTCGAGATGTTCAAGAAGTGGAAAACTATGGTGGAGAATGAAACAAGTTTGCGAGTAAAGAAATTGACATCAAATAATGGCGAAGAGTACGAACATGCCAATGTCAAAAAGTTTTGTTACCAGAATGGTATCAAACTAGAAAGAACGTTGTCGGGAACACAGCAACAAAATGGTATGTCCGAACAAATGAATCAGACGTTGACAGAAAGAGCTAGAAGCATGCGGTTACATGCTAGTTTGCCTAAACAATTTTGGGCTGAAGCTATCAACACAGCAGCATACTTAATCAATCGCAGGCCATCAGTGCCTTTAGAGTACAGGATATCGGAGGAAGTATGGAGCGTAGAAGAAATAAAACTTTCTCATTTGAAAGTTTTTTGCTGTGTCGCATGTATACATATTAGTGATCAAGCTAGGGGTAAGCTTGACCCCAAATCACTAAAGTGTACATTCATTGGATATGATAGAGATGAATTCGGGTAGCGCTTTTAGGATGATAAGAACAAAAAGTTCATCAGAAGTTGGGATGTCATATTCAATGAAAGGGTGATGTACAAAGACAGAGATACAGTGCTGTCCAGTGACTTACATGATAATCCAACATATGTTGAGTTGGATGATACTCCAAGTAGTAGTATGTCAAAGCAAACAGAAGAGAGTCCTCAGCTACAGAAAGCTGTTGCGGAGACTTTATCAAAGCTCCAACTCCTATTCCTAGAAGATCGTCGCGACCACATGTTCCAAACAGAAAGTACATAAATTATCTGTTACTTACTGATGCCGGTGAACTTGAATGCTATGATGAGGCATGTTAGGGTGAAGATGCGATTAAGTAGGAGCTTGCAATGAAAGATGAGATAAAGTCTCTTATCTCTAATCAAACATAGGAGCTAGTTGAGTTGCCTGCAGAAAAGAAGGCTCTACATAATAAATGAGTCTATCGAGTCAAAGAGGAACATGAATGGATCAAAGAGATACAAGGCAAGATTGGTGGTCAAAGGCTTTCAACAGAAAGAAGGAATTGACTAAATAGAGATTTATTCTCCAGTAGTAAAGCTGACAACAATTCGATCAGTCTTGAGTATTGTTGCAGCAGAGGGATTGCACTTAGAGTAGTTAGATGTGAAAACTGCATTTCTCCATGGTGACCTAGAAGAGGAGATATATATGCAGCAACCAGAGGGTTTCTCAATCAAAGGAAAAGAGAAGCTTGTGTGCAAATTGAACAAAAGCTTATATGGCTTAAAACAAGCACCGAGACAGTGGTACAGGAAATTTGACGGATTTATGCAGAAAAATGGCTACTACAAGTGCAATGCTTCGAGCGTTGTTGGATAGCTGGGAAAATGATAGAAGCTGCAATGCATCTTCCATGAATATCGATAGAGTTGAGCCTTTGACAAATAATGACATGCAAATAACTGCCGATAGTGAGAGAGATAGTAAACACTCGGAATTTTCTGTAGGGGGTGCTCTAATTTCAGTCATAATAATGGTGACAATGACAAAAAATTAGAGTTTAGACTACATTCACTAGGTATACTGCCATGACCGATCAGCACCAATAGTCCACTTTGGTCGTAAGGGCTTGGAGGTGGGGGCATTGGATTTTTCCTTTAAAGCATTGAGCCATATGGACTAGCAATGTACTGCTTTTTGGCCATGCCACGCCACAAAATTTTACGCATTAAGCTTGACACGACTATATGTCTCACATCAAGCTCGATTTTTTTTCCCTTTAAGGAGTTGCCAAGTGTTACGCCTCCTCAATAAAACACAGCCATACTCCAGAGCGTCGAATCTTTCTGCAATGCAATGAAAATATAGCCTCTACTTCGAATGACAACTTGCTTGTCAAACTTTTGGTCATGCACAGTTGTTCCAACTTCAACCATAATGAAGCTGTTATATTTTCCTTTAAAACGTCCCAAAAAATGTTATTAGATAGATGAAGATGAATCTGTGAAAGTGTCTTCCGATCCTTCTGTTTCTTTTCCTCTGTTGTCCAAGTTGTTGGCATCTTGTCAATTTTCAACAACGCATCATCCAAATCCATCTGTAACAAAGCAGTTCGCATCTTCACTTGCCACAATGAAAATCTTGTATTGGGATTCAAAAATGAAATTTCATACTTCATGCCTGTCATCGATAACAGAATCCTCAAACAAAAAATCACAATAAATAGTTTTGATATATCACTTGTTGGAAAAGCGGGGAGGCAAATATGACACGATATGAAGTATTGATCACATAAACAAGAACAAGATGAAAAACGAGAAGAAAGATTGGCTGAGGAACGAAGTAATTTTATTATCAACAACCAATGGAGAGAAAAATACAATTTCAACAATACATAAACTGGAAGAAGATTCAAATATATATAGGACCAATCCAAGCTCTACAGGCATAGTTGTAGATGAAAGAGAATGCCAAAATTTTTTATATCTTGATCTATTTAAACCCAACACAAATTCCAACTCCCAGTAAAGCTTCCAAATAAAACTTCAACTAGAATTTGCCAACAGACTTCAAATAGGATTCCAAAAATATTCTAAATAGAATTCTTCTTAATGTGTACTTTAATTGGAACTCTCGATTATATTCATCAAAAAATTCGAGTCATGCCCAAATTCTAACAATCATTTCTAAAGGAAGCATACCATTACAAGACCAAAGTTGAACTCAGAACACTATGCAATCGCACTATTTCATGTAAAAACTTAAATTGATAAAAAGTAGATGTTAAGAGCTCGAAAATTAGTTGGAGAATTTTTCTGACTCTATTTGTATATATATTTTGCAGGGACAGCAATTGATCAACGTGTAGCATATGTTCTAATGCTGGTGCCTTGGTGCGGACATACATCATTTACTAGATTTTTCCCTAACCATTTGTCGTTGGTATCACCCCCACAAATGACCTCAGGAATTTATAATTAGGAGCATCATAAAGAGAGACAATATATTAATTAGCAAGGAGATTCCGATGTTTTTGTAATGATCAATTAATGTACTAATTACTTATTTAAACTTTTGTGTTTGTGGGGTGATACCAACAGCAACAAATGGTTAGGGAAAAATCTAGTAAATGATGTAACGGGTTTGTTTCTGCATTCTCGTTATCTCTTTTTATTTCCTTCTTTTATTTATATTTTTCCAAACAAAAAATGTCTTAAAATAATTTCAAGTGATAGAATAACTGTGTTAGGTATTAAATAACTTTATCTTTCGGCATAGGAGTAGTTTATTTTCATCTTAGAATATCTCCAACAATGCTCTTTATTTTAAAGAGCATAATTTTCAATTTAAAGAGAATTTTTGAAGAATTTTCAAACATGTTGTAATTGGCCTCTGCATGATGCCTCATGTATTAACTGGTCCAATTTTTGAAACCTGTGTTCACTACGTTGACACGGCACGACAGAAGTAATTCAAGGCGAAAACCTTAACTTAAGAACACAATTTTTGGAATCCACCAGATTATGAAAAAATAAACTCGCGAAATTTTATTAATATAAAAAAAAAACAATGAAATAACCCTTTATTTATAAGGGTTTACATGAAAACCTAATTTAGAATTCAAAATAAATTATATGACAAAAATAGCATTAAAACTTTAAAAGCAGTTTTCGAGTCCTAAACGAACTCGAATTGCCAAAATCCATCATATGTCACGGAGAAACGATGAGTTCTACACATTTCGTCGTTCTCTTTCCAAAATGGTACCATTCAACAATTTGTTCTACATCATCTCCTCAACTCAACATATACCAAAATAATTAGTAACACCAATTAATTTGCGAAGTTCCCAAAATGTCATCAAATTAAAGAACGCGTTTCTTTTCTATTATAGTACAAAAGTAGATTTCTTGATTTGCCGCTTGATTTCTTTTATAATTTCAGTAAGGATTCTGCCCAAAAACAAAGTGTGACAGCATTCTGCTTATCAGATTTAGTTATTATCTCAGGAATAAACCATTCATTGACAAAGACAATGAATTTTAGTTTAGTCCTCCGAGGACAATATCAAACAAAACTTGGACATAATATAATATTATTGTAAATCATGATTTTATGATAATTGATCAATTTTAGGTTGATTAATTAACTAAACAAAAGTATATCCCAGTATAGATACCGTCTATCAATTTCTTGTTGTTAACCCTAGTTTTACACGCCAATTTCTTTAACGTTTTAAAATTTCTTGATCCAAGACCATGCGAGTATATATGCTGTATACATTCACACATGCTAGGAACACCAAATTATACAGCAAGAAAAGCTCGAAATCAAGAAAATTAAAGCAATGTCGTCAAACGTCGCCGTGCTTAGTGCCCTCGACAATGCACGTACGCAGTGGTACCACGTGACTGCGATCGTTATTGCTGGAATGGGTTTTTTCACCGATGCGTATGATCTCTTCTGCATCTCGACAGTCACCAAATTGTTGGGTCGCCTCTATTACTACGACGGATCCTTGACCAAGCCGGGAAAGCTTCCTCATGACGTCAACAATTTCGTTACTGGGGTTGCGCTAGTCGGGACCTTAACCGGACAGCTGGTTTTCGGGTGGCTTGGGGATATACTTGGGAGGAAAAAGGTTTATGGGCTTACTTTGGTTCTTATGGCAGTTTGTGCTATATGCTCGGGCTTGACATTTGGGTACAGTCCTAAAGCTGTTATGACTACACTTTGCTTCTTCAGGTTCTGGCTTGGATTTGGGATTGGTGGCGATTATCCCCTCTCTGCCACGATCATGTCGGAATATGCCAACAAGAAAACCCGTGGTACATTTATAGCGGCGGTGTTCGCTATGCAAGGTGTTGGAATCATCTTTGCTGGGATGGTATCGATGATTCTATCTGGAGTATTTCTCAGGTCCTATAGGGGTAAAACTTTCTTGGAAGATGCCGTTTTGTCAGCTGAGCCCGAGGCTGATTATGTATGGCGAATTGTGCTCATGCTCGGGGCTCTTCCTGCGATTCTCACCTATTATTGGAGAATGAAAATGCCAGAAACCGGTCGGTACACGGCAATAATCGAGGGAAATGCAAAACAAGCTGCATCGGATATGGGGAGAGTCCTTGATATAGAAATTCAAGCCGAACA